ATATTTGACGCTGTAACTTTTGAAAACACCATAAAACCTGTACATGAGGGGTACTGTTGTACTCGGGAGACTTTGCTGAACACAAATATTTGTGTTTCAAAACAGCAAAAAGTATCACAGCAATAATATCGTCCGTGTAAGTGCTGTTTGTGCATTAAAAATGCAAAAAACGTCACTTTTACTGGCGATATCAACGTTGTAATACATTTTACTGTTTTGAAACACTAATATTTGTGTTCAGCGAAGTCTCCCGAGTAGAACAGTACCCCCCATGTACAGGTTTTATGGTGTCTTGGAAAGTTATAGGGTTAAATATAGTGCTAGCAAATTAAATTCCCTTTACTTTCGGCATGGGTTGTCAGGCAGGTCCCGCTAATTGTAATTAATTAAGATACCTAATTATGTAAAAATATTACATAAATATATATGTAGAATTAATATATGTATATATATATATATATATATATATATATATATACGTATGTGAATCTATATGTGTATATATATATAATTTTTTTTAAATATTTTTATTTATATATAGGTATATATATAGTGATATATACGTATATATTTATGTATGTAGATATATATATATTTCGTTCTACGTGTATTTTGATATAAATATATATATATTAATATCACAATACAGTTAGAACGAAATAACACACATCTATATATTTTTTAATAATTTTTTAAAATAATTTTTGTAATTTTATTTTTTAACGTATTTACATATTTAATTTTTTATATTATATATAAATATATATATATATAACAATAATTATATATATATTTAATCAGTATCAGTCGTGTAATTTGATATTAATATATATATATATATATATATATATATATATATATATATATATATATATATATATATATATATATATTAATTGTAAAATACACCTAGACAGTGTATGTGTGTGTATGTATATGTGTATATATATACTTAGATCATATATATAACATATATATTTGACACTTGTATATTTGATACACTTTTTAATTTTATTTTAATTTTATTTTCAGCCAGCAGGGGGACCACCTGTCATTAAAGGCAGCCCCCCTGCTGGCAATGCAGGAGGCAGCCTACCCGGCCATGTGATTGTGGGGTCCTCGCAAGGACCTCACTCTCACATGGCCGGGGGTCACCGGAGGAGGAGGATCTACCGCGGGGGGGGCTCCCTGGAAGTCCCCCCCACTGCGATCGCCGGCGTGGGATCGCCGGCGTGGGACCGCCGGCGTCCGGGTAAGTAAGAAAAGACCGGAGGGCGTACAATTACGCCCGGCGGCATTTAGAGCCGCCTAAAATAGGGTGTAATTGTACGCCTTCCGGTCTTAAGGGGTTAAGCAGACTGTGATTGTCTATTGTTGTGACTTAGATGATGATCACATTTTATGATCAATTTGTGCAGAAATCCATATCATTCCAAAGGGTTAGAAACATAGAAACATAGAATGTGACGGCAGATAAGAACCATTCGGCCCATCTAGTCTGCCCAATTTTCTAAATACTTTCATTAGTCCCTAGCCTTATCTTATAGTTAGGATAGCCTTATGCCTATCCCACGCATGCTTAAACTCCTTTACTGTGTTAACCTCTACCACTTCAGCTGGAAGGCTATTCCATGCATCCACTACCCTCTCAGTAAAGTAATACTTCCTGATATTATTTTTAAACCTTTGTCCCTCTAATTTAAGACTATGTCCTCTTGTTGTGGTAGTTTTTCTTCTTTTAAATATAGTCTCCTCCTTTACTGTGTTGATTCCCTTTATATATTTAAATGTTTCTATCATATCCCCCCTGTCTCGTCTTTCCTCCAAGCTATACATGTTAAAAGAAATTTGCCCCTTTTCAGAAGAACATGACAGTCTTCTGCATTGGTGTTTGAAGCTTCACAAACATTGACCACAAAGGGACTCGAACCCTCAATCTTCTGATTTGAAGTCAGACACTTTATCCATTAGGCCACGCGGTCTCAATTTTTCAGTCAGGCAATTTACCAACTGAGCTACCTCACCTCACCTGTTTCACATACTTTTTCTTGCAACTGTATGTGTATACTGTGCATAATACAGAAGGAAAAAAGTAATGCAGGTTACATCATTACAGTTGTTTTGCCGTTCATTGCCAAGTTTTCTTTTCTTTTTTTTTTTTTAATAAAAACAAAAAACATAACATAACATTTCCATTGGAACTTTGAAAACATGTGGTTGATCATTTTTGTGACAAGGTATGCTTGTGAGAAGATACAGGTTATACTTGTGTGTTTCAGCGCCCCGCCTGGTTTGGGGTTGCCTTTGTCTGGGTGGTTTTGTTTAGGTCTGCTTTGGGATGGTGGTCCTTGGCCCTATGCTTATCTACTTGGGTTCTGCACTGGGGCTGGTGGTATTGTGTATGTTGATCCCAAATTTTACTGCCCGTATTATCGCTGCAGCCGTGTTAGGTTGGTGTTTGGCTTAGGGTCTCTGCGTGGATTGTCCCTTGTGATCTGTGAGTGTCGATTGTTTTGTGGGGTTCTGGTTATTGGGTTTATTTTCCTGTGTCAACCTTTTGGAGCCTCGCCCTCTGTTGTGCATTAGATGTATTCTAACACTTTTTTTTTTGGGGGGGGGGGTCAAATCCATCTTGGTTAGGTCTTGTGGGCGCTGCTACCTTGCCTGTTTTGTTATTTTATGGTGTGTCATTTTCTCTTATTTTAATCAGATGTAGAGAACCTCAGGCTGTCAGAGCTACCTATATTTAGCGGACTTATTTAATAAAAAACGGAA